AGGCAGGAATGGAAAGCATGGAACACACAGGCACAAGTATTCAAAAGTTAGTGTCTATTCCTAAGATACAAATGACCACCTCTCTGCTTCTCCATAGACTTGTAAGTTCTGTATCCCTTACTTGAAGAGCTTAAAACCAGAAGTGTTCTGGATTTCTGACTGGGGTCAGCAGAACACTGATTTTAGAATTTTTGCAGAAACATAATGTGATGCTTTGGGAATTAGAACCATATGCAAGCAAGAAATTTGTACCCATTGCACATATAGCCTGAAGCTTATTTTAGACACTATTTTTAATGTGCTTGCGTTTTGACTATAACCGGCCTCATGAGGTCGGGTGTGGAATCTTCCACATGTGCCATCAATCGTGTTAGCACTCAAAATTTTTCAGATGCAGGGTGCTCCCCCTGCATTTCTGTACTACATGTGCAGTTCTTTTTATATATCCTCATGTTTCTGTAACAAGTAGCCAAAGGCTCTTATTTTGAATGGTAATTAGAGATAAAGAGAGTTAACAGAGTGTTAATATCTTCATTCAGAAAATATTTCTTGACTAACTATGGCAGCTGGCATCATGGAAGGTACTTCAAAGAGACTGAGGAAGGAAGAAATGTTCCCTTTCTTCCAGCATTTAAAACTAATTATCTTACTTTAATTATGATTTGTGCTACAAAGCAGAAATAGAAGGTGAAGAGAAAGCACACAGAGAACTCCAAAAAGAACAAAGGAAATATGCAGAAGCCAGGTCAGGTGGAGTTTCCCAGAGCTCACAGAAGGTTCTGTCTACATTGAAAACACAAGGGGAGCCTGGTGGAACGTTCCAGCAGTGGCATGATCTGAACTGCCTCTTTCAACAGCTAAATATCATGATCTGAAGATGTGTGTGCTCGTGTCCCTGCCTGCCAGAAATGACAGCACAGTGCTAAAAAATCTAGGAAGCCCAAAGGACAAAGCAAGAGAGCAAGACACAGGAGCACACCCAAGATCTATCTGATTTTTTTTTTTTTTTTTTTGACAGGCAGAGTGGACAATGAGAGAGAGAGACAGAGAGAAAGGTCTTCCTTTTCCGTTGGTTCACCCTCCAATGGCCGCTGCAGCCAGCGTACCGCGCTGATCCAAAGCCAGGAGCCAGGTGCTTCTCCTGGTCTCCCATGGGGTGCAGGGCCCAAGGACTTGGGCCATCCTCCACTGCACTCCCTGGCCACAGCAGAGAGCTGGCCTGGAAGAGGGGCAACCGGGACAGAATCCGGCGCCCCGACCGGAACTAGAACCCGGTGTGCTGGCGCCACAAGGCGGAGGATTAGCCTAGTGAGCCGTGGCGCCGGCCTATCTGATTTTCAGTGTGGAAGCAGGGGAAGCAGCAGTGGCTGAGCAGAGGGGCGTCACCCTGGAGAAGCCTACAGCAGGGAGAAGCCAGGGATTCCACTGCATCTCAGGAAAACACCACTGGAGGCACCTGCTGCTGGCTCTGCAGGACGGGAAGGGGAAGGGGATGGGGACAGAGGCAGGGGTTAGGGGTTACTGGATTCTTCAGGTAGGTGCCTAGAGACTCAGGTGTCCACATTGCCTGTGGTCAACGAGTTCCCTTCACGGAATGTGAAAAGAGGTTTTCCCTGGAGATTGTAGAGTTGGAAGGCTCTAGATCCTAGATTCCAACCCTCCCCTTAAAAGGGGGGGGAGGGGGCAGAGGCTCACAGCTGGAAAATGAGAATTAAGTAAAAGCAGGTGGGCTTGATCCCAGGCACTCTGCTGATATGGACAGTGGGCATCCCAAGCAACAGTTTAACCTTCTGTGTGTCAACACTAGCCCCTAAGCAAACATCTTTGCAATTCACTGGCCACAAATTTGCCCAAGTGCCCTTCTATTAAAAAGCTCAAGCATCGGAATGCAGCTGGGCGGGGACCCCTGGAGGCAAATCAGAAGTCGGCTCATTTTTATCTGCCAGGAGTGAGTGGCCATGCCATTTTCTGGATTAAGGAAGGCAGGAGCAGGCCAAGTGCAGCTCTGAGAGTCAGAGAGGCCTGCAGAGCACAGAAGGCAGAGTTGGGAAGCTGCATAGAGTGACAAGTCATCATCCAGGCTCAGCCTAGCTGCTCCGATGTCTCTTCAGTGACCCACTCTCCAAGTCCCTCTGTGGGGTCAAATACCACTGGAGCTGGAGCGTATGACTTGCCAGTGATTCCCAAGTTCTCATTACAACTCTCCCTCCTGGGGGAGGTGGCATGGGATGGGGAAGAAGGACTTGGGGAGGGTTGAGGGAGTCGGGAATTCACTGGGCTCACCCTTCATAATTGGCTGCCCAGAGGTGCGCTTAGTCCCCATATCTCTTAGGATCCAAACCAATTCGTCCTCTAGGCCAAGGTCATTGCGAAGGAAGGAAGCTGACGGAAAGCACCGCAGCCGCAGCCAGTGTTTCTAGTTAACGATACCACCTACAGTACAGAGCACAGCTAACGTCCGTCTCCCCGCTCCTCGCACCGCTGGAGCCCTTCCTTCAGGGTCAGACTGCTCCCTTCCCTTCCAAGCTGCTCTGCTGTTAAGTTTCTGGTTGCTGGTGCAGTCGGCAGGATTTTTAAGACTGTGAATTGACATTTTGATTACGCTCTCCTTTAGCATTAGGGAAACAATTAACAACTCTAACCTGAGCTGTTAGTCAGTGAGAAGTTTTGATTCACCTGTTACTGAGCTTTAGCCAGTTGGAGAAACAAAGACAACAAATCAGAACTTGGCGGTATTCATTTTAGAGGAAAGAAAAACCCAATTTGGACAAATTTGCAAAAAAAATCCAAGTGAAATTAACTCTGCTTGCTGTGGAAAAACAGATGAAAGATGAGCAACAGGCAACAAACAACAGGAAAGTGATTTTCAGAATGTGTTTAACATTTAACGCTCAAAAACAAGTGGTCATCAGCAAGACCTCTGCCTCACTCCACTGGAGCAGTGACAGCCTGGAAGGAGAGCAGGGCCAAGCTCCCACACACAGCCTGAGCCTGCAGGTTATGTCAGGGGTCTAACTAGACCAGACAGGAGGGCAAGGACAACCCCAGAGGCCTCACTGAAAGGCATCAGCTCTCTGCATACCGCACCTGTGCAGTAAAGCCACAGCAGTATCAGTCAGCTTCAGGGGACTTTTTAGCGGAAATACCTGAGAGAGAGAGGCGACTTAGGGAAGCGGTAGGCTTAGGGTGGCTCACAGTTTAGAGATCTGCAGTCCAGGATCAGGTGGCCCTATTGGTTCCAGGCATTCCAGGAGAACGGAGGGTGGCTGAAAAATGACGACGGGGGAGCCGGGAAGCTCAGTGGGAACAGCTGAGCCAATCTGGCTCCAGGACCCACCACTTGTTGAGCGCAGGTCCTCGCTGACACGCTGACCCGAGGACTCTCAGCAGGCCCACCTGCTAGCTGCATAATGGCATCAAGTCTCCGCCTTGCATTCTAACCATTATTACCAGGCTTGGGGAGCAAGCCTCCCACGTGCGGGCATTTGGGGGACACAGCACCTTAACAGTGAAGTTACTTCTTCAGGCAATCTGATCTAGCAACCACCGAAATCGAATGTGCATGAAAGCCAAAATCAGAGGGAGCCTGCCGATTTTACTTTGTTGTAATTCCTGGTAAAAATAGTTAGACTTCCATGAATCAGGTCAAAATGATTCACTGATGAATGCTTACCTACTGGGGTGCTGCGCCTCACATTCATGGTGAGCTGGAAGTGGTGTTCATACAAAGGGAACAATGTAGCATGAACTGAAGAACAGTTTAAAACAAGGCGGCTCTTTCCACGAGCAGGGACGCACCAACTAGCTCAGGAGATTCCCCCTCAAGGGTACAGAGCCCTCCACCTGAGGAACTTCCAATGGATTCTCAGGTTCCGATGTCTGAACAAACTGCGGGAGAAACGATGGAAAAACCATCTCGATGCATTTATTTGTAACTTCTGGCCTCACTAGTGATTTGCATTCGTTTGCATGGGATCCTCATAAGAAAGGAGAATTCAAGACAGCGGAAACGGAGCCCCTCACTCTAAGCACCGAGAAAAAACTCAGGTTAAGCAGGAGTCTGTGACAAGTGCGCGCCCACCCTCGCTCCCCTTGGCAGCCCTGCGTTGCCTTTGCAGCATTTAAGCCGCTAGGCAGAGACCAAAGGAGCCTCCTTGGGCGCCCGAATCAACAGAACTGAACTGCGTGTTAATACGACTAATACACGGTGTTCTGTGCTCGCAGAGGGTCTAAAACAGCCAACGGCAGGAAGCGGTGTTGTGGCGCAGCTGGTTAAGCCAGCACCTTCCAGGCTGCCAACCCAGGTGGAGCGCAGGTTGGAGTCTCGGCTGCTCCACTGCCCACCCAGGCCCCTGTTCAGGGCCCGGGAAAAGTGGGAGAAGATGGCCCCGGCGCTTGGGTCCCTGTGAACTACCTGGGAGAGCCGGATGAAGCCCCTGGCCACTCGGGGAGTGAACGGGCGGATGGAAACTCTCTGTGTAACTGATTTCCCAGAATGTATTAATATATAAACAGGTGGACTAGCCTTAAAAATTATAGGCAGCAGGTGAAAATGTGCGTGCTGGCAGTCCTCGTGCGTGAAGCCTGGCCTCGGTGCACAGGAGACGCACCCGCCGCGCGCTGAGTGGCATTCCTGCGGGACCCTGCCTGCTCCTTTTGTCATTTAACTTTCCCCGTGTTTTCTGGCATTGGAGTGCCCAATCCAGCCGGAACAGCAGGACAGACGCAGACAGGGAGCGAAAAACGCATCCATCCGCTGAGAAGTTGGAGACGGAGCCGGCCGGGGTGGGGCGGTGGGGCGCCGGGGCCCGCGGAGCCCGGGGGAAACGAGGACGGCCCCTCCCCGCGCGGCGGGGCGCGCGTGGCTCCCTCCCGCGCCCGCTCCCCGCGCCGCGCCGCGCTGCGATTGGCCGCGCCGCCGCCAGGCCCGGCGGGGAAGCGGGCGCGCGAGCAAGCGCAGGGAGGGGGGCGTCTCCGCGAGGCGCCGGCCTGGGCTTCTTAGCGGCTCCCGCCCCTCGGCGCTCCATGCCGGCTGCCCTGCTCCCACTGGCCTCGGCTGGCGCGCGTCGCGGGAGAGTCGGCGCCAACCTCGCCGGCGCGTCGTCGCGTGGACAGCAGCCCCGGCCTCGCCGTCTCCGTCTGCGCCGGCCGCTCCTGCCATGGGGCCACCGCGGGGCCCCTAAAGAGTTGCGGGCCGGCGGCGCGCGCTCGGGCCAGCGTCCCCACGGGCAGGCTATGACCTAGGGCGCACCGGGGCCGGCCTCCAGGTCACGGGGCGAAGGCGCCGGCGAGCCGGACGATGAGTTTCCGCAAGGAGGACGGCGTGAGCAGCCTGTGCCAGAAGGCGCTGCACATCGTCACCGAGCTCTGCTTCGCGGGCCAGGTGGAGTGGGAGAAGTGCTCCGGCATCTTCCCTCCGGACCGCCGCACCCCGGGCGGAGGCAGCACAGGTAGGGCGGCGCGCTCCGCTGCGAACTCGGGTCGCGGACAGCTCCGGGGCACGTTCGGGGAGGCGCGCCTTTCCTCCCGCCAGGCGCCCCGGGACTTGGAGCGTGCGGAGTTTGGGGTTCGCTTCTTCCGTGGACCCTGGCTGCCCTCGTTGGCCCACGGGTCCGGCGCGGAACCCGTGCGTGGACGCCACGAGCCGCCACGCACTTGAGGGCTGTGGTGCACCGTCCCCGCGGGGCTGCCCGGCGGCCGCAACTGGTGGTGCGTTTGAGTTTTCGAGCCCACATAATCGGGGCGATTGTGAGGGACCGCGTGGGTGCCTGGGCCACACCCAAGGCCCGGGGCTCACGGGGAGGAAGCGGAGGAGAGGGGAGAGGACCCTTTCCCAACCCTCCCTGAGCGTATACGAAACTTGGAAGAAAATGGAGTTGGGGGCGCAAGAGGGCTCCGGCCATCAGGTTTGTGGCCATGGACAGTGTCCCAAAGGACACTGCTTTCTCTGCAGGCTCGGGTGCTGGAGACGAAATCAGACCCGTTGGGTCAGCCCCAGAGCAAAGGTGTTGGGTGGTCCGGCTGCGGCGCCGCCGGCACCTGTTGCGCCAGGAGCAGACGCTGGATTCGCGGCGGATCTGGGATCAGGCCCGAAAGCATGGGGTCCCCGGTAGGGTTTGTTGGCACGGTGGCCCGCGGGGTTTCGGGGCTGGAGGTCGCCAGGACAACGCGCGCGAGTGGAAGCGGAGCGCGCGGGGAAGGCGCGAGCGCGCGCACACGTGGGGAGCCGGCGGCGAAGGGTGCGGGTGGCGGCGGACCCGCTTGCCCGCGGTGGTCTCCACGGACCATGGACAGGTATTTCGGATTCTCTGATCCTGGTAGCATGAGTCTAGAGGGGCTTCTGTCTGCGCCCGGAGCACCACCGAGGACTTGGAGCCGCTCCGGCCCTGCGCGCTTGGCATTGTGTGAGCGTTCCCAGAACGCGTGAACACAGCTCTTTTCCCTGTTCGCAGCGGTTGTGCAATTCCTCGGCGGGTGTGCAACGCAGCGAACGGGGAGGCGTTGGGGGAACAGCCCTTGCCGGATGTGGCTGCCCCCCCCCCCGGGAGGTGCGCACCAGGACAGCATGGCCTGCGTGGGCCGGGCGGTCCTGAGCGGTCGCCCCTGCTGGGGCCCTGGTGACCCGCCGTTGGAGGTCGGAGGAGGGGACGCGAGCGGAACAGGAGAGGAGGGGGCGTTATGCTTAAAGACCTGCGTTTTGGTGATTTCAAGGTACTGTGCATTGCCCTACGGGCTCTTCCCGCTTCCTGTCAGGAAATTTCAAATGATGGTTTCCTAGGTGTCATGTTGGCTGGTAATGTGCAGTTTGGAAACTAAATACGGTAACAGCTTCCAAATCCATCCATCCTGGGGTAGCCCAAGGTGAAAACGCTGTCCGCCGGCTTTTGCTGAGCGCTTGAAGTTGGCCTCCTAATCCCTTTCGGATGGTCCCTTGGGAACAAAAATAGGGGGACAGTTTAAAGAATCGCATGCTGTTGAGCAAAAATACGTAGTATTCAAGTAAGATATTTGACTTAGTAAATGGATGTGCGTGTATTGCAGTGGGAAGATCATCTTCTAGACTGCGTATGGCTTAGAAAGATGAGCAAGATTGGTTCACGTTTGCCCTTGGCAAATCCTTGGGACAGTCAGAAGTGAAATTCATCAACGCACAGATAGATTCCCGCTGTTGGTAGATAGCTGTGAACTGGGCTCAGAGACTGCTTACTGGATCCTCGGTTGTATTAAGTGCCCCCTCAGCTTCACGTGGTTTTTCGGAGTGGGTTTTCTTGCCACCTGCCCCCTCGTGCCCTGTACTGTCAGCTCGAAGCTGAAAAGCCCCTCCTGACACCCTGCTGCTTGGTGGCTGAGAAGCCCTTGGCGGAGCGCATCCGCCATGTTGAGTGGTCCAGGGCTTAGGGAGGTCCTGAGTTACCCAGCACAGCCCAGGTACTGTCAGTTTTTCCAGCACTGCTGGGACAAGTACAAGCGTCCGAACTGAGCTGAGAATCACACATCGAAGTGTTATCCTACTGTTTTTTAATCCAGTTGACCGGTCTCTCTGAGTAAAATTTTGTGCCCGCAGCTGCTAACACTGCATGACTTTTTTTTGAGGTAGTGTATTCCAGCCATTATACGCATCAACACTGCTGGTACACTAGAAACGTCGTGGTGTGCAGTTTGTAGAAAATTGCTTTTCTTCCTCCTCTTCCCAGAATCAGTATGCTAACCACTGAATTCATTGAACATACAGTAAAATTTTAGTAAATGTTCAGAGAGAACAAATATCAGTATAATGTTCTCAGATGTTACTTTTCAGATACAGTATGCCTAATTGAATATGCATTCAGTCTTGGACCTGTTTTCAGGTGTCTGTTTTTTTAATCACTGCTCAAATGCTCATCAAGATAACTGATAGGATGCTTTGAAGGCAGACCTCACCAACAGCAACTACCCACTTCAGTTTGCAGGTACTTCAACTCATGTCACAGTTATATAACCCTAATTATAACAGATATTTTAACAAGCATTTAATTCACAGTGTCTTAATTTTGCACATTTGAACAATTCCCACTAAAAACTCTAGAATCAAAAATTGTAAAACTTTCTTCAGTTTCTTAGTAGTAGGGACAATGAGTAGATATATGGTAAAAAAATTTCGTTGGAGTACTTACCTAATAAGGAAAGGGAGTACCAAATAAAATTGCTCAGTCGTGGTCTGAGTTAAATGGCGTTTTGATTCTGTGCTAAGGGCTTAAAGTCAGAGGGGGGACTTCATAGGTTTTTCTCTCCAGGTACAGATGAAACACTCCCCAGTTATTTGAGTAACGATTTTTGTATGTGGTTATTTTGGGGGTTTTACACATCCAGATGATACAGTGGAAGTTTTCCCTTGAGATTTGTAGGTCTGAACAAGAGTCGCTGAAACACAGTGAACTCAGGATGTGAAGGAAGATGTATTCCTCGCTCCATATGGTCCCAGTTTGAGGAGTGGCCAGCTTGTGTTTCCATTCGTACTGTCCATGCTCATCAGTTCAGTGTTGCTTGGCTCCCAGGGGCAGGGGCGATTATCTTTAAAGGTCAAGCAGTTCCTGACAAACATCTGTTTTTCTTCATTCTGGACATCACTGTGTTTGGCAGAACTGGCAGGATAGTGGCTGGTTGCTTGGTTTGTCTTAACCTTTCAATTTTTATTGTTGGAAAGATCTGCACTTCTTTGTATTAACTACTTACAAATATATACCTGTCCATTTCATTCAAATTACAGACTTCATTTTAATTTTGATTGTATGAACAAAACTGTCTGTTTTGGGGAGATCTTTCTGCATTTATTTCAAAAGATTTTTTGATATAAAATTCTGGCAGAAGACATTATCTATATATAGAAAATAGAATTGGCTTTTTCCTGATCGACATTTTATTCCACCAATGCTGAGCATATTACATTAATAGAATAGAAGTTCCTGGAAGGTTGGGCTTGATACCATTTTGTTCTCAGTGCCTAGAAAACCTGAGAGCCCTCCTAGAGGCTCAGAGAATGTTTGTTGATTGAGTGAATATATAAATGGCCCAGAGAATCTGTCCTCTAGAACTCTTAGCTTCCTTCTTTGTGAAATAATGAGCTCTACTTAATAATCTCAAAGTCTGATGCAAAAATGAATTGTATATGAGGAGGGGAGGTCTTCAAGAAGTTCATGGAAAAGTAGAATTATAAGTTTAATTTGGTATCTCCCAAAAATAGAAGTCTGCACATCTTTTTAAAATAATTCACATTTGGCCAGCACTGTGGCTCAATAGGCTAATCCTCCGCCTGCGGCGCTGGCACCCCAGGTTCTAGTCCTGGGTGGGGTGCTAGATTCTGTCCCGGTTGCCCCTCTTCCAGGCCAGCTCTCTGCTGTGGCCCGGGAGTGCAGTGGAGGATGGCCCAAGTCCTTGGGCCCTGCACCTGCAAGGAAGACCAGGAGGAAGCACCTGGCTCCTGGCTTCAGATGGGCGTAGTGCGCCAGCTGCGGAGGCCATTAGAGGGTGAACCAGTGGTAAAGGAAGACCTTTCTCTCTGTCTGTCTGTCTCTCTCACTGTCCACTATGCCTGTCAAAAAAAATTCATATTTTCCATGTACTTTTGAAGACCCCATTATACTTGTATGTTTGTGTCTCTACTGTTTGATACTGTATCAAAGTAGGTTGGCGTAAGAAAGGCCTGAATTAACGCAATGACAGAAATTATAGCGTTTAGGGGATTTAAAAGCACTTAACAGTGTGTGAATGCTGCCCATGTTGATCTGAGAGTGTGTTTGGGTAGACCTGTGACTCCATGCTGCATTTACAAGTGTTGCCTTAAAAGCAGTGAGTTTTTTGAAGTTCTACAAAATGGGAAAATAATGTTGAATACATTCATTTATGGCAGTAAAAGGAAAACATCTTAATTTGTTTAAGCAGAAAGTGGCATGGGGAAAAAAAAAAACAAACCAGCATTATTCAGATTGCAGTAGCTCACTCCAGAGACCCAGTGGTAAACACTGTCTGGCAGGTATTTGCCTCCCCCAAATCACAGCTTGTTGGTGATGGCACTGGGATGAGTTTGGTTGAAGAGTAGGGATAAGAAGTGGCCTCCAGGGGCCAAGGTTGTGGTGAAGGGCTCAAAGCTACCACCTGTGACTGCTGCATCGCATGTGGACACTGCTCACGTCCCAGCTGCTCGGCTTCTGACCCCGCTCCCTGCTAATGGCCTGGGAAAGCATGGGAGGATGCACCAAGTGTTTGGGCCCCTGCTGCTCATGTTGGAGATTCGGAAAAAGCTCCTGGCTTTAACCTGGCCCACTGCTGGCCAATGAGGCCATCTGGGGAGTGAACCAGTGGTTGAAAGGTTCATTCTCTCTCTTTATGTCTTTTTCATAATAAATATATCCTTTTTTTTTTTTTTTTTTAAAAAAAAAAGTGACCTCCTTAGTGCTGTAGCACGCTGGAACTA